ACAGAGTGCAGCAGAGGCAGGAGTGAGGGGTAGCAACAGAGCTGGGGGGGGCTGTGTTTTGGGAGTGAGAGGCAGGCAGACACACACATACACACACATTGCCCAGCAGGTAAGTCTGTGGAGGGAAAGGGGTGTGGGGGAGGGAAGGGGTGGGGGAGACAGATCAAGGGCCCCATGGTGAGGAAGGGAGTGGGGCAGGGAAGGGGTGAATGGGGCCCCAAGACCAGGGCAGATCATGGGATGGAGCTGTGGTCCAGGTGCTAGGGGGGCGCAGCTCCCGCTGTTGCATGCACCCGCAGAAGAGGCACGGGGGGCATGATGTTTTTGTGTGCAGGGCCATTTTCTATGTAGGGTGGAGGTGGGCTGTGCACTGTGGGCTCGGGGCTCTAAGCCCTGCTGCTATTGCTCCAAGAGCCATGTGATGCCATGCTGTGCCTCCTGCTGCCGGGCAGGCAGAGGACACAGAGTGTAGCCAGTGTGTGGCTCCCGGGGCAAAGCCAGCAGGGCACAGAATAAATTTCACTTGGATGAAAGGTAGAGTAAACCTTTCAGTATGAATTTTAAATTATTTATTCTTTTCTTTGTTAGGAACCTGTATTCTAATTTGTAATGACTTCTTGCATTGGTACCTTGCATTAAAAAAGAAAACCCCCACTAAAATTTCTGTTTCTTACCTCATGAATTGAATTAAAAAGACTCCAGTCAAAGTTCGTTAATTCCAAGGCAAGATCCCAGGTGTTAATTCCCAAAATTCTGACAGACCTTTGTTGCAATTCTTCATTTTCAGCAAAAGGGTTCTAAATCAATGGACAGATGCAAAATGATTCCAATCAATTCCCAAGTGTTTTGTATGGAAATAGCTACCGTGCTGAGGTAAAAAAACAGCATGAAAACAGTAATCTTCCGTGAGTGCACTTAATTTTTTTAACCCTGTTCAACTTCAATGAGTTACCGCCTATTTAAGAAAAAGCCTAGGAAACAGGACAGAATGATCAATGATTTCTTATTGAATTAGGCCTTCAGTCTCTCTATAAAACCTGATTATAAAACACTGACCAAGCAGTCGGCTTAATGAAAGCAAAATCCTTGAAATCACAATGGCCCACGGTCTGAATTAATGCACTAGCAAGCTCTGTATTAAAAATAAAAGGAGAACGTTGTGTTAACACATCAGATTTATGGTAAATGCATATAACTCCCTGAACAGACATTTACAAATTCCACAAGAATGTCCATTTTATTGTGAAAAATGGCCTATATTAAATGCACTTGTCAGCAAACGGTAACAAAATGTAAGGTCTGATTCATGAAATATACTTAGCTTACTGAGGGGAGCTTACTCACACTACTGCTGTTAAGGATCATTTGCTATTTTCATTATAAACTCAGATTTTCAAAGGTTTACACTACTTTTTTTTTTTTTATCTCATCAACCTGAAATTTGGTGTATGAGTCATCTGCCAAGATGAAAGATGGTTTTATCAGTAAGCCATTATTTTGGTATTATTTTTTTTAACCATTTACAGCAAATTTTGCAATGTTTATTATGTAACCAAAGAAACTAGATTGGTTGTCACTTGTCTGCACTGAAAGCTTTTGCTAGTATTAAGATTTTTAAAGGTGGCTATGACAATGTGGATGATACATTATAAGGATATCAGCATGTCAGTTCTAAGGGATACACTGATCCCATAAAATGAAGACAGACATTTCTCACGCCTAAGACAAATGTACACATCTTAATGATAACTGCCAATGTACCAAAGCATTTGGGGGCGGGGAGGGGGGTGGGAATATACACATACGCTACTAAACAGTTGAAGCATGAATTGCAAATTATGCCCATGACCATATCACTTTGATGTGAAGTTTCATCATGCCATGAGTTGCTCTGGAGTGTCTATTTCCCCATGAGTTTCAAGCCAATTCCAATGGCTGCTGTGTGATCCTAAAGATGACTACCACCCCAGGAAGCATGGGAAAATAAGTCCCCAAGTTCAGCAGAAAGCAGAAACTGCTGTTACGTACTGACCTCACAAGGTAACAGAGATACAAGGAAACTAGACTACTTCCATCATCTCCTTTCATCTCCTTTCCTCATCCTGACCACACCTCACTCCTTGTATACCCCCTCCCTGCATCTCCCTCCCTGGACTAGGCATAATTTGGCTTCTAAGGCTAAGCACACAGTCAAACAGCTGGAGGCTGAATCGATTCAGTCTTTGCAAGTTAATTTAAGATGCAGAGATTAAACTGAGAAACAACTGCACAGACATTCACTTTTGATTCAGGAAATGCAGCCACATGCCTGCAGTGGCTCAGGCCAGAACCTTGGGGGGTGCTAGACCATGGCTCTCTAGAACGTAGCCAGCATGGGCTGCGTGTTCGCTTCCTCTTCCTGCTGCCCCCGAGATCTCTAGGATTTGCAGCCCACAATCACAACATCAGGACACTGCAGTGTTGCTCATCACTTCTTCTTCCCGCTTCTAGGTGCCTCTGGGATTTGTAGTCCACAGTCACAGCCAGCAGTAAATTTTTAGCTGGGCAGGGCAGTTCTGTACTCAGGGGAAGGGAAGCTTTATGCCCCTCCCTGGCCCCAAACTCCACCTGGCAATTTAGAAAACTTAACAATACAAGTGTCATTTCTGAAAAACCTGGTGTCCTCAACAGGCACTCAAAAAAAGTTGAACAATATGGAATTCTAGGACATACAATATTACTTACCAACGTGTCGTTCAGATCTTTTCGGTAGACAAACATACGACTGGATGACTCAAGAGATTTTGAGAGAGCCAGGTCATTTGGTTGTAGCTCATGTTTCTCTTTAAGATATTAAAAAAAAAGAAAAAATGGAAAACCTCAGAAGAGTAGTATACATGGTATATAAACAGTAAAGTAACATGTAACAAATATTCCTCAAGGCACATCTACTTTATTAACTATAATAAAATAATGTACACAGTATTAATAACTTACTAAAATTGTTCACGTCTACCCATCAGAGATGTTGTTCAAATAGCATCCAGCAAATACAATCAAGGCAGCATTTCTGTGCAACTGCATTAGGGATGCACAGAATTTTCCAAGTCCATGAAATAATGAAGTCTGTGAAGTGTCTTTTGTTTAGCTTTTATGGATTTCAAGAATAGAAGCAACTAAATCTAGTCCAAATTCCTGTATATCCACAAGCCTTTCAATTTCATCATAGTACTCTGCTATATATTCCAGGTAGGTTAGTAAGACTGAAAAATTTCAATTCTCAGTAGACTAAACTGTTGTGTGCTAGAGGCATCAAGTATCCAGATGATCCCTGCAGGCAAGCCACACCCCCAGAAAATAAAAGCAAAAACACCAGAATATCTCTGACTAACTGTGCATCAGGGGGAAAAACCTTCCTTCCTGACCCCTAGAGGTCACAAGCTGAAGACCTGAAGTATAAAATTGATCATAATTACTGTCTTAGCACAGAGCTGCAAGAGTTATGGGTACAATGAAGGCAATGCAGACAACTTTATACTTCCCATGGTCCATAAATGATGAGGATGCAGAGGGGGTTTCATAGATTTACAAGTGGCAAGGTCAGAAGGGCATCCATCATGGCTATCTAGGCTGACCACTTGTACACGTTAGTATCTGATGCTACTTGAACCACCAGTTATAAGATGTGTTCTCCACCACCCCACACCTTGCCTCTGCAAGGTAATTTTGTATGAAAAACATCCTGCTTTGTTTATTAAGTAGTTTGATACAATTTACATTTACTCGTTAATGCTTATATTGCTGCCACCAGTAAAAGATGCAGCACATCTCTAGCTCATGCAAATTTCATTACATAAATGCATATATAGATCACATTGCTGACAACATACAGCAATCAGGGCAGCTTATTTCTGGTACATCTGATTAATTCATTCCACATTAATGAGTAACAATTTTTTACTTATATTAATGGACAAATTATATTCCCATTGTTAAGTTTTAATTATTTTTTAAATTTAACAGACAAGGGGTAGTTATCATCCTAGTGATTCCTCTCCACATATATGCTTGAGAAAGTCCTTGGCTTTCTAAACTGTTTGCTTATGAACTGTTAATTTTCTTCAGCAATTGGGGCTAGCTGGACAGCTATCCAAACACTTATTTAGCAGCAAATCTAGCCTCCCTCCTAGATAGCTGCCCAACAAGACTGGAAAAGAAGTAGAATCACCGTGGTTTTGCAGTGCTGAGAAAGCCCTGAAGGTAGGCCTGAGTACATGCAGGACTAAGGCAAGTTTTGTCTGTAAATTCAGTGGAGTCCCTGGCCACATCTCCTACTGGGACACTGCAGCATGGTTGCTTCGATCCAGGCTCTACACTTGTAGGACAGGAAGCTGGCCCTGAAGACAGTTTATTTGGGTTCCACATAGAGAGCTTGGCATTTCACTGTCAAATCAGATATATAAATAGAAGTGCCAATATTTGGTGTGAATTTTATTAGCTTCATAGAAAAATAAGAAGCATATTGTGTACATGGGGTCCAAAGCTCAGCTTCAAGGAAGCTATGCCAGTTTATATCTGTGGACAATCTGACCCATCAGTTTTAATCTTCTCATTAGCCTTTTTGTATGGCTTCAGCCTTTTTTTTTGTATGTAGTTAAAATGCCTCCTTTGTATTCAATGACCGTATGAGGATAAGACAATGAAGCCAAACAGCTTTACAAAGACCTGGAGACCTGATAGACACCAGAAAAAAGGATGGAGCCAGGAAGGTCCCTAAAATAGAGATCACAGGCAGAAGCTTATTTAAAAGAGACAATAACCCCTCTTTGTTATTAAGACTAAAATAATACATCAACCCTCAACTCCCCCTTTCCCATTGCTATCAAGTTATAAACTAGCCTCACATCAGAGAAAACATCCTATGGATTGATTTGGATATCAATATTTCACAAATTCTTCCCACTATAGAATAGTCATTACTTATCCTGTCAAACGAAGGAGTCACTGTGGCACACAATGCTCTTTGTCCTCTTTTTAAAGCAAGCAGTACCTCAGTGCCTCCCCAAATTAATTCAAACATGAAATTAGGAGCTTATCTGCAGGAAAGCCTTATTACATATTTCTAAACACTGGAAGTCCTTTGCGCTCCAGTCCTAGGGAGAAAAAAATGCAGTATCCAACAGAATCCAAGAATTAGCTGTTGTCATGGAAACCAATCTCTAGTAAGCAGCTCCTTATTGTTACTACGGTCATCCAGCTGTGGACTCATAGGGAACAGCTATATTTTTGTGCCAGAAAATGTCAACCATCTTTTTTTAGATGAATAAGTAAAAGGTTAGGATTCAGATGAATGAAAATTATTTACCACCAGAGAATGTGATGACAACTAGAGCCAGATCCTCCTCTGCATGCTGGATCTTTTCTGCTACAATTTTCAGTATTTCCTGAGCTGAAGCAGATACTTTAGTTTTCACACTGACATAGGAATGTTCTGTTATGTAGATACGGCAGAAAACTGAAAAAGAAGAAAAAATGTCTGCAAGTAAATAAAGGCACTCATTAACAGGAGAGGTGGAAGAATTTGATAAATAAGATAGTGGCAGTGCCTTGGCTGTGACTGCATTTGACAATAATCTTTGACAGCAGGAGCTACTACTGCTGTACACTGACCTACAGGCACACCAAAAACTCTTACAAATATCATCATTTTTCCTTTGCCCTCCTCCTCTCCCTGGGAAATCACAGAGACATAATAAAAGATAGTGCGGTGTTTCACCAACATACAGTTAAATTTTATTGCAGGGGTTTACTATAGAGCAAGCACTCTCTAACATTTTAATTATGAAACTGGTTTCTTCTTCCTCTCTCTTGTTTGCAAGCTCTCCTAGTTTTTACTTTTTTTTTTTTTTTTTTTTTTTTTTTTTTTCTTTTTTTTTTTTTTTTTTTCTTTTTTTTTTTTTTTTTTTCTTTTTTTTTTTTTTTTTTTCTTTTTTTTTTTTTTTTTTTCTTTTTTTTTTTTTTTTTTTGCTTACTTCCTTTCAGGATCAGAAGAATCACAATTCTTCCTCTATACTTCATATCCTCCAAGTTGCTCATCATGCTAAAATAGGATTCTCAGGGTGACTCTCTAAAGTCTTCATTAATCCATCCATTCAACCAACCAGTTTGTATGATAGCCATCAAAAACCTTCACATTACCATTGCACATACTGTCAGCATTACAATTAGTTTAAATAACAATCCTTCCTGGATCACCTACATCTCTTCTGTAAGGGACAGATTTGGAAGCATCACAAGGCTAGAACTTCCAAATGAGATTATTTCTGTAGTGGAAACAAAGACTAAACTTTAGGGTTTATTACTGAACATTGAGCAAAATAAGAGATTTAGCCACTCAGAACTCTCAGTAACAGACCCTAAAATGATGCCCATGTATTGGTTCAGTCTTTGTTTCTGCTACAAAAATAATGAGCTTTCACAGAATTTCAGCTTTCTAGTTTTTCACAGCGCTAATCTTACCTAGGCATGTGGTAGAATATAAGAAAGTAAACCTGGCAGCAGACATGTATAATCAGTATCTCAAAACTGACAGCATCTGTCAATGAGATCACCACCAGAGGGGTCTTATTTTGTACTCACTTCATTAAACATTTCATTTACCTACAATTTAATCTTTTTTTCCTGCAGACAGGCTGCAACAGAAAAAAGGGAAACAATCCATTCTTTCCTTCAGAAATGAGATTTCTTCATCTTTAGGCTACAGTGGCTCACTAGTGTCATCTAGTACTGTATATAGTAATACAAGGTTTTTAAAGTCAAAAGGTTTGTGGGACAGGCCTGTATGCATTGTTTAACAGAGAAACATCCCTATTGGTATTTGTTTTTAAGTGAAGCAAAAAAGAGATGGAGGAGGAGAAGAAACCTTAGGCTTTAAAAAAAATCCCTTGTCAGTTGATTTAAGACTTCATGCTAGCCTGTGTGTGTTGACAGACAGTAAATGAGGTGTTCAGCCTGTGGGCAGCATCTCCTCTCAGAATGGATGAAAGTCATGAAAAGGTACATGTGTCAGACTGCATGTTGGACTACCAACTATGAAAGAATAAAAGGAACTAACAGAAATACTTGGTTTCTGTTTCTTTCTGAGGAGTAAGATATGACCTGCCTACAATGTTCACTAGGAAAACCACTGGTTTTCCTTTTGGCTGAAATGACCTCCTTTCTTCCAGGCTTTTCAGCTGTTTAGGGAGGGGAAAACAACAGCAAAGGCATTATTAAAAAACCTCACAATAACAAAAAGAAAAAAACTGGCATACATGTCCCTTGTTTTAAATGAAATTGGAGTGGCTGGAGGTCAGTTGCTCAAGCACTATCAGTTTTACAGCCTGCTGAAATTCCCTTTCCCCAAATTGTTATAAATATCAGATCTGTGATCATTATTGCCATGAACCACAGATTCCTGAAATTCAGAGGTGCAGAATAACACTTAGAACCAGAGGAAGGGAGATGTGAACTAATTTGCCTTTCAGCCACTTTGGCATCTCCCCCAACACCCCCATCTCCCACCAAAATCCTGGACTCTCCCAGGGCTGAGACCTACAGCATGTTACAGACTGCACTAGAGGTCTACCAGTCATAGCAGCAGCCTCTTTGAGCTGCCCTAGTGCTCAAAGAGCTACCTAAAAACTCCGTATCACTATATTTTGTCTACTGCTTGACCCATGGGACAACAGACCCATTCTGCCCCTGACATACTGAGTGCACTAAGGCCCTGAGGAGGAGCACTTATGGCTCTCTGACTCAGTTCCTATTCTGATAGAGAGAAGACAGAAGTGGAGCTCTCAGGGTCGCTTGGCACCACTCCAGGATTTTTATGTCATAAAGGGGCCAGAACAGGAGCGAGGATTGCATTCAGTCTTTTTAACAATTTGAAACACCAGTAAACCTATATGACAGTCCAAAAGACTGAAGGTGGATAACGCAGGGTAACCTTTGAGTGCATGACAGAAAAATACTCCCCTTAATATTTAAAAGATAGTTATCATGGTCATTACTTGCCCATGATCTGACAGGCACCTGGCTGGAATCACATGATCCCAGGTTTGGTGACCCTTTTCTTGCCTACCGGGGCACAGGGTCGGACTAGATGCCCCACTGAGGTCTCTTTCAACCCTAGAATCTATGAATCTATGAACTAGCGGTATATACTTAGGAGTGATTTATTTAAGTGAGAAGGTCCCAAGTAGACAGTCTCTCAGGTTTCTCTCTGTTTGAGTGCATGACTCTTAGTGTCTCTGCCTATGCTCCAGTTAACACCAGTCCTCTCTCCCCCCTCCTTCCCTTAAAACTGCCAATGCATTATAGGATTGTGGCTGTTTCACTTTATTACTGCATTACCAGCAATGAAAGTGAATTGCATTTCATAATGGATGACATTAAAAGGAAGTGGCATATTGCATTCCATCTGCAGTGTTGGAAGAGAGAAGGTTATAACAGTGGCTACTGGAAATCAGTAGATTTTGACCCATCTCATGTGACAAGGGCATTAATCTTTTGCAAGCTGCCTGTATGTCAGGTAACTGAGGCCAGGAAATAGGATCCACTCTTCTACCACTGAGAGCCACACACTGGAGGAATTGATGCTAAAATAAAATAAAAGAGCCCCTGAGACTTCATTTTACTGATGAAGCCCTACATAAATCATGAGAAAAAAACACATTCTTGCATCATCAGATCTTTCTTTCCTTGTGGCTCTAGGTTCTTGTTCAAAAGCTGTGAGTTTGTAATTGAAAATATACCTTAAGGGCAAGCTTTTTGTAGAAACAGACTTGTACCAATGTTTAGAGGCGCTGTACTGAGCTTTCCCTCCACTACCCTTAAATCATACTTACTTTCCTCTGTTTCATTCACAGTTCCTCTGTGCTGGAGCCAGTTCTCTTTGAGACTGAATTGGTGGAAAAAGGCTTTATTCTATGAGGGGGTGGGAAAAAAAAAAAAGAACAATGAATGTATGTGCTCCCGCCCTTCAAAAAGCAATAACCACGTGTACCATGTCTTATGTAAATCTGGCCAAAACATTTTTGTAGGAAATCCACCCATCCATTCTTGGATAAGTGAACTGGGAGTTGCCTTGTTTAATAACAGAGATGGGGAATTCTGAGGAAGTGAGACATGTCTAGGCTCAGCAATGTGCACATTTCAGGGGACTCTGTAATCACGTTCATAGTTCATCTCTTACAAACTGTCCTAAATAACTAGTCAATTGGCCTACGTAGCAATTTCACTACAATCTCATTTTCTGCCTTCTACACTTCCACAGTAACATTTTTAAGCGTATTACACACTTCAGCTTCCATCTGGTGAATTTCATGAGCAAAGCAATTTGTTTCCATGTAACTCTTATGTTGACATCCCCTTTTATATCTCTTCCCTCTAGTTAAATAGGCACAAATGCATGTTTCTTTCTTGCTGTGTCCCTGTCACGCCACAAGCCCCTTTACTTTGATTGACTACTTGACATCAGCAGTCAATGTCTTTGCTCACATTTGTTTGCCAAGGTCTACTTGAATTCAAACTTGTATTTATCCAGCTAGGCAGGGGCATGCTGCTGGCTCTTATTGAATTCTGACTTCTCCAAATGATAATATTGCAGCCACATTTGGTTAACCCACATGGCTGAAACCAGAGCTCCGCTGGCAGGAAAACAAAAGCCTTTTAGCAACATTGTAGGTCTAGACTCAATGATGGGTCCTGTAATGTTTTTAGTTACTAGTCATTTTTAATTAAGGAGAAGAGCTAGGTGAGGGGAGTGGAGGTTCTAAGCTACTATGCTAATAAGATATATGAGCTCTGCATTACCTTTCTATGAGGCGAATATTCATCTACAGTGCTGAAACAAAAGGGAGAATTCAAATTACTTTCTTTCCAAAGATGAGAAAAAGCAATTACAGCCATCAGAGAATTTATAGCATCACATAGTCACTACTGAGTGCAAAACTCCTTCAGTGGAAGCCAAATACCTAAAAATAGTAAGCATTTCATAGGAACATCCCTAAACTGCTGCACTAGAAGCCTCAGGCCCAGATCTTCAGTTGGTAAAAAATTAAGCTAATGGTATCATGCTGATTTACATCAGGTGATATCCTGGCTCTTTTTAATGACAAAAAGTATCACCTGTCCAAATAAGTACATGCAGAGTTCTTGATAATTTGGTTTGCAAGAAATATTTACACTTTAATGTGCAAGCACAGGAAAAAGCAGGTCCCGGGGTCAGCTCAGTCACACTAGGTGCCAGGAGTTCTGAGACTCATTTCCATTTCTGTCCCTGACTTTTTGGGCCAGGATGAGAATTGATGCGTAAAATAGTGTAAGTTAATCTCCCTTAACCTCAGGCACTCATATTCATGACAGGCTTGTCTGTACTTGAACTTATTCAGGACCAGCCATTCTTGTATTATTCCATGTGGACACTATTCTTTGCTAATACTTCCTCCCAGATCAGGCTGAATAGAACCAGGTTGCTCTTTTTCTGAAATAATGGTATCTGCAAGTGCAGATATTTAGGCTGTTTCTGAATAACTCCATGGGTAGAAAAGCCCATTAGGCAACCTCAGACCTACTGCGAATTTATACACATACCTTTTTGTCCCGTGACATGCTGGAGATCCGCTGCTTTGGAGCAGATTTGATTACTTAAGTCTACTCCACCCACAAGCTGATGCAAACTGTGCTGTACCACGTGCAGTTGTATAAGCAGCGAATGCATGTCAGCACTCAGAAAATGGTGGCAATGCACTATTGAACTAAAATACCTACGTGCACCACCACCATTTTCTCAGTGCTTGCATGCATTTCACCACTTATACACCTGCGTGTGGTGCAGCAACAGGCACTTTTCAAAGTGCTCGGCATTGCGGCACTTACATGTGTAAAAATGCCCGCTGATACCAACTTACCAAGCATACCCAATTACAGGAATGTAACAAATCCTGGGAAGATTAGGATATTCCATATAGCCACTGACTGCACACATTTTGAATGGAAGCTATGGTGCAGGCCTCTTCTAATTACATGGAATTATGAAAATTCCAAGGACTGGGTGATTGCAAAACAGAACTTTCTTAACTGACAAGAGTAACTAACTATTTGCTTTTACATTATTAAAACCATGCATGTAGTCACATAATCTGAGGTGGAAATGAATGTCATGGTCTAGTTTGATGCTGTAGAGGCTTGCTATAAGAATCACTTGTAGCAATAAGCACTTGTCAGTCAAAGCCCCTCCCACTGCACATAACACTATACATTTTATACCGTAGTATATACCGTCACTTAAAATCATAGATTACTAGTTCACACGCAAATTTTTCCAGGTTACTCAACTTTAGTCTGCAAGATATCTCACTGAAATCAATGGGAGCAATTGTGGAGAAACAGACTACCCAACCAATGTGAGAAAAGATGGACTGACTTGCCTCATGTAAAAACAAAGATTATTTCTGCAAACAGAAATGTCTATTATCTTGTATTGGAGATGCTTTATTTAATCTTTTGGCTTTTCCTCAAGTGCTATAAAATTACAAAACAATACATAAAGAAGGACTAACCAAAAAAGCATTACTTACTGACGACGATGCATTCCAAGTATCTTTTGAAATTCTTTCAGTTCCTTCTCAAGTATGGGATATTCATACACATCATCTAACACATTCCTGTATATTGTCTACAACATGAAACCAAGATTAACAAACATATAATGACTGAAACATTAATATTGTGTACATTATAGGAACAGCTTGCATCAAATCTAAAATTATCCTATAAAAATACAGCACGTTTCCATTTAAGTATCTGGAATATGCCATATCCATACCGGTTTGGCTGATAAGGATATATTATTAAGCATGAAGATAAAATCACACTGTCCATCATCCATCAAAACAATAACATCCCTATTAAAGTTAGGGATTTTATGATTTGCTTTTTGCATTTGCATAAACTAAATTATATCAGCCCCAAACTCTCTCATACACAAATAACAGAATGATCATAGTCTTAAATTAATGAACAAATAAATCTTCTATTCTTCCTTTTTCAACTTCCTTCATATCATTATTCAAACTCCTTTGAGAACTTCAGCTAATTATACAAGACACTTGCCTTCAGATATAAAGGTAAACAAATTATATTGGCTTTGATGCCTGAAATCATTACAGTAAACAGTATCTCTTTGATCATCTATATAGTTTCATAGTTTCTAGGGTCGGAAGGGACCTGAGCAGATCATCTAGTCCGACCCCCTGCCATGGCAGGAAGAGCACTGGGGTCAAATGACCCCAGTAAGGTGGTCATCCAACCTCCTCTTAAAAACCCCCAGGGTGGGAGCCTGCACCACCTCACTTGGAAGCTGGTTCCAGACTCTAGCCGCCCTGACCGTGAAGTAGCGCCTCCTGATGTCCAACTTAAACCTTCCCTCCGCCAGCTTGTGACCATTGTTCCTGGTCACTCCTTGCGGCGCTCGGGGGAACAGGGACTCCCCCAGCGCCTGCTGATCCCCCCTAACCAGTTTATAACAGGCCACAAGATCCCCCCTCAGCCTTCTCTTTTGAAGGCTGAACAGGTTCAGGTCCCGCAACCTTTCCTCATAGGACCTACCCTGCTGTCCCTTGATCATACGAGTGGCCCTCCTCTGGACCCTCTCGATGCTGTCCACATCCCTCTTAAAGTGCGGCGCCCAGAACTGGACGCAGTACTCCAGCTGCGGCCTGACCAGTGCCGCATAGAGGGGGAGGATCACCTCCTTGGACCTGCTCGAGATGCATCTGTGGATGCACGACAAGGTGCAGTTGGCCTTCCTAGCCGCCTCCCCACATTGCCGACTCATGTTCATCTTGGAGTCAATAATGACTCCCAGATCCTTTTCCACCTCCGTGCTGACAAGAGGGGAGTTCCCCAGCCTGTATGTGTGGTGCCGATTGTTCCTCCCCAGGTGCATCACCTTACACTTGTCTGTGTTAAACCCCATCCTGTTCTCCTCCGCCCATCCTTGTAACCTATCTAGGTCTAACTGTAGCCTGTTGCTCCCCTCTATTGTGCCCACATCCCCCCACATCTTAGTGTCATCAGCAAACTTGAACAGGGTGCTTTGCACCCCCTCATCCAAATCACTGATGAAGATATTGAACAGTGCGGGCCCAAGGACCGAGCCCTGTGGGACCCCACTTCCCACGTCCTTCCAGGTCGAGAAGGACCCATCCACTACCACCCTCTGGGTGCGACTCTCTAACCAGTTGGCGACCCATTGGACTGTATGGGTGTCTACGCCACAGTCCCCCAGCTTCCTAATGAGAATGGGGTGAGAGACAGTATCAAAAGCCTTCCTGAAGTCTAGGAAAACTATATCCACTGCCACCCCTGCATCCAATGATTTAGTGACCTGGTCGTAAAAGGCCACCAGGTTGGTCTGACAGGACCTGCCGCTGATGAACCCGTGCTGGTTGCCCCTGAGCATGCAGTTCCCTGCTGGCCCCTCCTGGATGTGTGCCAGAATAATTTTCTCGAACAGCTTGCCCAGGATCGAGGTAAGGCTGACTGGCCTGTAGTTCCCCGGGTCCTCTTTCCTCCCCTTTTTGAAGATGGGAACCACGTTGGCCCTCTTCCAGTCCTCCGGCACCTCTCCAGAGCACCACGAGTGTTCATAAAGCCGTGCCAGGGGACTTGCAATGACCCCAGCCAGTTCCTTTAGGACTCTAGGGTGAAGATCATCCGGGCCGGCTGACTTAAAAACGTCCAGCCCCTCCAGAAGCTCCCTAACTAAATCCTCACTCACTCTAGGCCCAGGTGAGCCTCCCCCGGGGCCCAAAGGGGGCCCAGCAGGGAGGTGGCAGTTCTGGTCCTTACTGAGGAAGACAGAGGCAAAGAAGTTATTAAATATGTTGGCTTTGTCGTCTGGCGTGACAACCAGATTCCCCGTCTTGTCCTGCAAGGGCCCCACATTTCCTGGGGCCTTCTTTCTTCTCCCTATGTACTTAAAAAAGGACTTCTTGTTGTCCTTAATCCGGGAAGCCAGTCCCTGTTCCATCTCTGCCTTGGCCTTCCTAACCATCCCCCTACATCCCTGAGCAACTGCTGAATAGTCCTCCTTAGTGATGACCCCTCCTTTCCATTTCCTAAGCCTCCTTTTTGGCAAGGAGACATTCCCAGATGTTTTTAGTGAGCCATGGAGGCTTATATGCTTATAGGTCCAGAGGTTTAGATATAGCTCCCCCTTGCCAACAAATGGAAATCATATGCTGAAGACCTAATTATCTGCCCACTTTTAGTCAGGCTTCCACTTACATATCCACAAAATGTGCTACAAATAAATTTTAGATTTCAAATTTCAGGCACTGTTTTTTGTAGGTGCAATTTAAGTCATATAAACATTATTACTGTTGTTATTATTGTAGCTGTTGTTATTATTGTTATTACTATTTTTATTATAGTAGTACCTAGAGGCCACAATCAGGGATTGGGGACCAAATTGCATACCACATACAAAGACTGCACTAAAAGGCAGGTGCTGTCTTTATAAATTTATATATGAATAAATTTAGCAAAACTTCAGTATGCAATTGATATGTTTTAATGGTGCTCAACCTATTCAGTCTTGCAAGCGCTGGGCCAGTCTGTGGGCCATTTTGTGGGGCAGAGGAGGTCCTCAGACTTGATCTAGCGAAGGGCTGGAGCATGGGAGAAGTTTGCGAGTGTGATTAAGCACTCCAACCCAGCCCCACGTCAGATCCAGCTGCAGAACAACCCCATGCACTGGCACAATCCAACATGCAGGGACACATCATTCCAGACTGAGGCTCCCCACATGTCCAGGAACTCGGTGGTGAGTGAATGGTGGTAGTACTAAATGCTGTGACTCTGGCATTGGCTGCAGCAATCAACACTGTCACTGCTCCTTTGCTGATAAATGTCCAGCCCTGAGGGAGTAAGGCTGTGTGAAGCTTCAGGTGCTGATTCAATTCAGAGGAGATTCAGCCCGATTCAGTGGCTGAATCTCCAAGTCGAATTGGGAGACCAATAAAAAGGTCAAAATTGATTTGGAAAAGATACGGAGATTTGGGCAGACCCCGCTCACCGCCGCTGGAAGCTGGACCCAGACTCTGTGCTGGTAAGTAAGAGGTGGAGGAAGGAGGGCAATGGAGGGAGGGGGAGGGGACCCCCACCAGGCCAAATCCCCTGCCTGCTCCCCCAGGTCCCCTGAGCACCTTCCGACCCCTGCCCACTCTCCCAGCCCCATCAATGGCTGCCCTGCCCAGCCCCAGCATCCCAGCTCTTTAAAAAAAAAAAAACAAACCCCAAACCCTACACTCACTGGCTGCTGCAGCAGCCATCCAGGCTTCTGGGGGTTTGTGGCAGAGCCCCCCACGCAGCACGGGTCAGCGGGGATCACCCCTCCCTTCCCCACCCCACCCAGCCTGGCAGGAGCCAGTGAGTGTGGGGGTTTTTTTGTTTGTTTTTTTTTTTTTTTTAAAGAGCCAGGACACTGGGGTCGGATGGGGCAGCCATTGACGGGGCTGGAAGAATGGGTGGAGGGGGTGAGGCCTGTTTGATTCAGAGATTCAGCTGATTCGGTGGTGGCCACATCAATTCAGGACAGTGATCTGAATCACCGAATTGAATCACTGTCCCCCAAATCAGCTGAATCCAAATCCGAAGAGAATACTAGCTGCTTCGCACAGGCCTACTAGGGAGTCCCACAGGCAAAGTGAGACATCTCCACAGGCCAGAGGTTGAGCACTACTGATATAACTGAACCCAACTTCTAGTATGGTATTACACATGTGATGCCCCTGGGCAGGAGCCCCAGAATCCCTGCATCCATATGCAGTGCACCAGCCACAAGGTATTCAAGCAGCAGAGAAGCCTGAAACTGCCTCTGAAAGTTCTTAAGATTACCAGACGTGAACCACACATGACAAAGAAGGTGCCCCAGTAAGGGTAAAGAGTTGTTCATTAGGAAAAGAGAGGGATCTGAGGCACTTTTCCAAGAGAATTGCCTCCCTCTACCAGAAGCTGGAAACAAAAAGATCTGAGCAGTCTGATTTTAGTTGCAAGCAAGGTACCTTTGCATTTAGAATGAATTCATTCAGAGAGGTCAATAGAGTTCCTTGCTTGTAAGCAAGTGCAGTTTTATTTCCTAGAAATGCATAATGTAGCCATTGGATTATTTATTTGTATCTGACATATACTGCAGCAGTAGGGGCCAACCTTTCTGGCAGGCATGCCGTCAAATTAATCCTCTACTGTCCCCAGATGGCACACTTTCCCCTGCCTGATCTGCTGCTCTGCTTTCTGTTCCCTGCCCAAGCAACTGCTCTGCTTTCCGCTTTCTGCTCTGTGCTCCCTGCCTGATCGGATGCTCCTATTTCTATTCCCTGGCCTCTCTGCTACTGTGCTGTCTGTCCCTTCCCCAATCGTCTGCATGCCATAGACTGCCCATGCCTCTTGTGGCACCTGTGTCACAGGTTGGCCACCCCTCGACTACAGAGTAGGTTTTCAGGTTTTGGCTGAGGCAGGACTTGGAGAAAGGACAACATAATGCTGTCACAGACTTTGTTATTTGGGATACAGATTTCTGGAGGTTCTGGACTAACAAAGATGATCGATATACTTAAGAAGTTTCCTTACCTGTCCATTTTCTTCCTTCAGACGACCAGTAGACTTATATAGACACTTATACTAAATTTGGTGTTTGGATTTAGTGTTTATTTTCAGGGCATCACACAACAAATTTCTAAATCTCAACAAACTATCCCTAAAGCACTGACAGAGGACTGAAATGGAAATCATTGGACTGGTATAAAGAAAATTAATGGATAAGGTATTTTACGCTTTATATTTCTGTGTTTTTCTTTAAATTTGGGCTTTAAGACTCACAAACCTATTATTCAAACAGCAACGTTTATCAATATTGCAATACCTTTAAAAATTGTTTTAAATGTTCATCTTCATGCAACCAGTCTTTGTAGAGAGAAGTCCACTGAGACACCAAATGCAAGACTTTTCGTTTTCTACAGGGAACATCCGAGTTTTCTTCTTTGCCTTGAAGGTTCTTAGCACAATAGGTACAATAAGTTAAGGAACAAAAACCTGATGTGTCACTGAAACTTAGACATTAAGAGACAGAAAAGACCTGTTACGTCATCTTGAACATTCCTCTGCAAGTGACGGATATTTCTCTATACCCTATAGTCTTAAGCGCCTTATCTTGTTCAGATTAGGAGCTCAAACAGGGTTTTCAGCTTTTAGGAATGAAATGTACAGTAATAAAAATGCCAGTTCAGCGTCTGTGCTACCAGAATATACTTTTTCCCCTTATGGATTAAGGAGACAATTCTATAAAAGGAAAACCAATTTAGAAGGAATTACACAATGATGAGTCATGACTTTTCTATAGAATTTGGAATGAACCACTCTATTGCATGAAGATGTCAATGTGAATTATTGTACAAAGCAGGACAATGCATCATTAAAAGCAAATAAGAAATTTTGAATGTAGGAAGGTTTTCTGCTCCCGTATTAGGTGATTAGCAGAAAGAAGACATTGTTACAAAAACAATAGGTTCAATTGTCAACATTTTTATCTACTTCCAAGGTAGCATATTTACTCAATTATAAGATGAACCCCCACACGTCAACATGGAGAAAAAAAGCTCCTAGTTTTACATTTGCATACATGGAAACCTCATTAAATACACTGTCTATCATTAAACTGCTCCTAAACCCAGCATGTGCTTAGTAATGGAAACTAACTATGAAGCTGATTAAATGCAGCCAGCACCAAACAAGACTATAAAACACAGGTCCCATATTGAGCAAACCTACTGACATGACCCTACCACAAGGATAGGCTAGCACAACCCATCTGAATAAGATATATGGTAATTCCGATTGTGCTCAGCCCCCCATAATGCTGACTCCTTTTAAGTCAGGGTGAGCCACTGCACTAAACACATTTTGACTTCCTCTTCATTCCCACAGCTGAGCTATGCCTTTCTTTTCCATTTCCAATTATTCTGGTTTCTTCACCAGCCTTGAATGTCTGGTAAACATTGCAGGAAGAAAAGCAAATATGGCAGGTGACCAGTTTGGCTTAGCAGAAAACACTTTGGTGAGCTTAAACACAAAAAGGAAGCTTACAAGGGGTTTGGACAGATAATTTGGGAGAAGTATAAGAATATTGCTCAGGCATGCAGGGATGAAATCAGGAAGGCCAATATGCAACTGCAGTTGCAGCTAGCAAGGAACATGAAGGGTGACAAGAAGGGTTTTTACAAGTATGTTAGCAACAAGAGGAAGGTAAAGGAAAGTGTGGGTTCTTTAATGAATGGGGGAGGCAACTTAGGGGCAGATAATGAGGAAATGGCTGAAGTACTCAGTACCTCTTTTACCTTGGTCTTCACAGGCAAGGCCAGCTCCCAGACTACTGCACCAGACAGTGCAGTCTGGGGAGAAGGTTAGTTGCCAACAGTGGTGAAAGAACAGGTTAGGGACTATTTAGAAAAGCTGGCTGTGTACAAGTTCATGGGACCACATATGATGCATCCAAGGGTACTGAGAGAGTTGGCTGATGTGATTGTAGAGCTACTGGCCAGTATCTTTGAAAACTCATAGTGACTGGGGGGAGCTCTTGGACGACTGGAAAAGGGTAAATATAGTGCCCACCTTTAAGGAAGGGAAGAAGAAGAATCCAGGGAACTACAGACCAATCAGCCTCACCTTAGTCTCCGGAAAAAGCATGCAGCAGGTCATCAAGAAATCCATTTTTAAGCACTTGGAGATGCTCAGCATGGATTCACCAAGGACAACTCATGCCTGACCAACCCGATTGCCTTCTATAATGAGACAACTGTCTTTGTAGAGGTGGGGAAAGCAATGAACATGACATACCTTGACTTCAGCAAGGCTTTTGATATGGTCTCCCACAGCATTCTTGCAAGCAAGCTGACAAAGTATAAGTTGGATGAATGCATTGGGCTGGATCATTGGGCTTAATGAGTAGCAATCAATGGCTCAAGGTCTAATTGACAGCTGGTATCAAGTAGAGTGTCCCAGGGGCTGGTTCTGGGGCTGGTTTTGTACAATATTTTCATTAACGATCTGGAAGATGGAATGGATTGCACCCGCAGCAAGTTCACAGATGACACCAAGCTGGGGGGTGTAGTAGATACACTGGAGGGTAGGGTTAGGATTCAGAGTGACCTAGACAAATTGGAGGATTGGACCACAAGAAATCTCACAAGGTTCAACAAGGACTAATGCAAAGTCCTGCACTTAGGAAACAATAATCCCATGTACCACTACAGGCTTGGGACCAACTGGCTAAGTAGGAGCTCTGCAGAAAAGGATCTGGGAGTTACAGTGGACAATAAGCTGGATATGAGTCAACAGTATGCCCTTGTTGCCAAGAAGGCTAACAACATACTGGGCTGCATTAGTAGAAGCACTGCTAGCAGATCAATGAAAGTAATTATTCCCCTCTGTTCTGCACTGGTGAGGCCACATCTAAAGTACTGTGTTTAGTTTTGGGCCCACCACTAAAGAAAGGATGTGGACAATATGGAGAGAGTCCAGCAGAGGGGAATGAAAACATTTAGGGGGTTGGGGCACATGACTTACGAGGAGAGGCTGAGGGAACTGCGCTTATTTAGTTTGGAGAAGAGAAGATTGAGATGGATTTGATAGCAGTCTTTAACTACTAAAGGGTGGTTCCAAAGAGGATGGAGCTAGACTGTTCTCAGTGGTGACAGATGACAGAACAAGGAGCAATGGTCTCAAGTTGCAGAAAGGGAGGTTTAGGTTGGATATTAGAAAAAACTTCTTCCCTAGGAGGGTGGTGAAGCACTAAAACAGGTTACCTAGAAAGGTGGTAGAATCTCCATCCTTGAAGGTTTTTAAGACCCGGCTTCACAAAGCCCTGGCTGGGATGATCTACTTGGGGTTGTCCTACTTTGAGCAGGGGGTTGGATGAGATGACCTCCTGAGGTCCCTTCCAATTGTAATTTTTTATGGTTCTGTGATTCAAACAGCACCAAACAGGGCCCCAAACAGTTCACCCAGGATTTCTCTGTCATTCCCTCTCTCAGCCTGTTACATGTAATTAGTGTGGCCCCACCCTCCATGAGGTGAAGCCAGACCAGGTTGCTCTATACCTCATCTACATGTACATTTTTTGGAAGATCCCAGGACTTATGACAAAAACAACCAGTTCCAGTGATTGGCTAATTAGCACATGGATCCTTTGTGGGGAGTAAACACATATACTGAGCAGTGCAGAGCTATGGGGTCACCATGGTTTGAAATGCTTTAGACTCTGCTGAGGCCCAGCCCAATGAACTATATGCTAGATCGTGAACCTTTTGTCTTTGGACTAATCTCACACATAGTTTGTACTACATATAAGTAGGTGTAAAAGTGCCACTTAAAAGTGTGTTTAAGGAATACCTGTGCTAAAAATTGTAGCAGTCTCAAAAAGAATAACATGCATCAATTCTGAATTAACTGAATTGCTACAAGCATGTTTATTTCCAAGTCAGTGTTTCTGAATTTGCCCCTCACTTCCATGTCATGTGCTTAGGAAGAGCAGGAATCTGACAGTAAAGGGGGGTGGGGGGATGGGAAGAGGCTATAGGGGGAAGAAATTGAGAAGCAGAGAATGAAAGGGCTACCTGACCACCCCAGGTTTATTTTCCCTGCTGTAGCAGTGGGAGGGAGACAAATCAAGGCAACCCTCCAATAATTAGATTCTATATCCAGAAATTATAACAAATTTACACATTTTCCAGATATAGAATCTAATTATTGGGGGATGGTTCCCCCAATAATCAGGGTCATCTTATATTCAAATAGATACGGTAGTAATAGCAATGGGAAAAATCCCTACTTTACACAATGCACTTATCTCTGCCTCTTACCTATTTGCTCTTCCCTCAAAATAAGAATCACTTACTTGCATACTTCATATAGAATCTTATAAAATTAAACTCAATCTCTTTTTATAGTTATGAGTTCATTCAAACTCAATCCTTAACATGTGGAGATAAGTGAAAAAACATGAAAAACATGTTTTTTACATGTAAATGGGAACAGCTTCTATATTGTATCAAACGATTAACAGAATGGTCATTGTAAGATACACAGCATACATTTTCTCCTTATCTCATGTTTAAATCTATTAATTATACAGATGTGAATATTTTTAGGAGCTGCTGATTACAAAAAGATGCAGAGTGGGTAGGTTTTGATTTGAATTTTTTAATGGCATTTTGTAAATGTCAGCAAAACGGAGAGATAAACCTTAAACAAAAAGAGTCTTCATTTGAGCTATCCGACTGTTTCTGTGAGTTTGGTATCCTGTGGCATACATCTTTAACCATTCTTTTAAAAATTGTATAATCCATTTTTGAGGCAGTCGGAATATTAACTACTCTTTTCATCTAGCTCCTCTTTAAATTCTCTGTTGTTTTGATATATACAAGACATTCATATTTGCAGAAGGAAGAAACGGTGATTTAAGTAATTATGATGAGACATACTTTCTACAAAATTTTAATAAATTTAATTCAAATATGAAACATAAGAGGGATGAAAACTAAATTAATGTGCAAGTATAATGGTACACAGGTATGTCACATGTGTAAATGTGCGTTTGTAGATGTGATGAGAAAAACTGTTGATTTGGTGTTTGCACTGATAAGTAGTAAAAAAGAAATACAATATTTTCTTGCTGCCCTATTAAATTTTTGTATAACAATATTGTCCTCAATTATGTGATCATATGCTATTACAAGAATTCTACACTAGACATTTTTTTTCATTTGGAATCTGGCATATGTAATCACATTAAACATCTTTAATCATAACACATATAGTTAGAGCTCTTGTGGTACATTCAACCTTAGAGCTGAAAATCTTGACTTATTAATACATAGCTATGCAATCCCAATGTTCTCTTAATATATTTACAGGGTTGTGTTTGGGCATGTCCTTTACAGATATCAGAGCAAGGGGAGTGAATGAAATGGAACACCTCATCTGAAATCTCTACAATTTTGAGGAAACTTGG